TTAACTTACTGTGGCACGTTCTGAATTTTGCGCTAACTCCATCCACCTTCTGTTAACAGCCATGTGTACATGGTGGTCGTACCCACCAAGCCCAAAACATGCGACTTATCGCACTTAAACCTCTGGTCGATTTTGCACCGAAACCTTGCGGCGTCTGTTGCAAGGTAGGCCTCAAAAGTGCGAGACAGTTGCCAGGGTGACTACAATATCCGTACTGCTATCTGCCTATACTACTAGCTAGTTAATAACAGTATAGGAAGACGGTATGCTGCGATTATGCTTTGTCTATCGCAAGCTAGTAGATCTGCAGCTAGCACATAGACGGCAAACAGCATTACGTTACAACATAAATACATGGTAGAACTTGTATTATTATTAAGTAAAACTTTATTTTGACCCGTAAGCTTTTTATTTTCATCTCATACACTTTGGGAGAGCATACTTGGTTCCGACTTCCTAAAAACATGCCCAGGCCTATTATAATATACTATTAACTGGTCTAAGTAAGTATGATTACTAGAATTAGCACTTTAGCATAAACACGTACTTATGGCAGCAGTATCCTTGTCCTCGTAGTCCAAACCTAGTAGAAACAACCTGACGGATAGAGTTGATGTGCTCAGATCCTCAAACATATAGTTACTCGAAATAGCATAAATCCAGATTTCGCACTCTTTATAGAGATCAATAGGAAATAAACATTTGCTTTGCTTTGAAATCCGCACTACCTCTGACTTATATTAGCGTCAGAAATAGTACCCGCACTACTGAGATTCAGCTACATTGCAAGTCAGTAGTAGTAGTAGCCATATGAGCCTCGACCTCTTTGAACCGTTTTGGGCACCAACTGAGGGTTAGTGAAGGTAGGTAGTGTGATAGTACTCGCTCAAAGTCTACAGGCAATTAAGACTAAGTTAGGCGGTGTTTCTGGCTTGCATTGGAAAAGTAGCCAATGTGGGGTCACGTTAGGTCTTCTTGACCCCGGGCGAAGGTGAAGAGTGCGGTTGGCGCCTACTACGTCTGCTATCACTTAAATCTACTCCCCTGAGGCCAATAACATTCACTGCATCAGCCTGTGGTGAAGTTAAACGAAATCGAGGGTCGAACACACACAGAGAGA